CCGGCGGCGGCGGCGGCGGCGCGGTGGCGGCGGTGGCGGCGGTGCTGCGGGCGTTTGGGGTGAAGGAGGGGCAGTTTGCGATAGGGCACACCAAGGTGTTCTTCAGGCCAGGTGGGTGGGCCACAGTTGGCGGTTCAGATGGCAGTTCAGGGGTTTGACATGTTTTGTGTTCAGGGCTAGGTTCAGCAATGGACTGAGAAGATTGACAGGGGCGCGGCCCAACCATGCTAATCTGCAAACAGCATACCCCCTGCAGCCAGCTCAACTCTTCCCTGTGTTCTGTGTCCAGCGATCCTGCAAGGACATCGATCCTGCCGTGTGTGTTTCAAACCAGTTTCATTCCTATCAATCCATCCAACCCCAAACCCTGGTCTCAAACCCATGCAAATCCCCTTGCCAGGCGTACTGGGATTTGTGGAAGACCGCTGGGCACGCACCCAGCAGGCGGCGCTCAGGATCCAGGCGGCCACACGCATGCGCTCCGCGCGCGACGCCTTCCTCCGCGCGCGCGCCGCCGCCGCCACGCTCCAGTCCGGCTGGCGCGCCCGCGGCACGCGTCTCGCGCACGCGCACGCGGTCCGCCAGCACCGCGCCGCCGCCCTGATCCAGGCGTGCTGGCGCGGCGCCGCCGCGCGCGCGCTGCTGCGGCGCGCTCGCGCGGCCGCGACGACCATCCAGGCCGCCGAGCGCCGCCGCGCGCTCCGAGCGCGCATTGCGGCGCGGGAACGCGCGCGCGCGGCCGCGGACGCGTCCGCCGCGGCGGCGGCCGAGGAGGCGCGGCTGCGTGAGGCGTCGTTCGACGCGCTGCAGCGGCGCTACGGCGCCGCGTCCCTGGAAGACGTGGGGGCGGCGCTCGCGTGCTGGGGCAGCCTGCGGGACGAGGCAGGCGCGCGGCGGGACCCTGCTGACATCAGCGCGGCTCTCTCCTTGTACAGCGCCCTCCAGAGCCTCGAGGCCGGCGCCCGCGGCGACTGCCAGGCGGGCCTGCCGGCGTCGTGGGGCCCGGGCGGCGCGCGCGACGCGGCTGCGGTGGCGGCGGCGCTGCGGCTGGCGGGCGCCGCGCGAGCGAGGGGGCTGGCTGACGAGGCGGCGCTGGCGGAGGCGCTCGATATCGCCGAGGCGGCGCGTCATGCACTGGGGCCGGACGGCTCCGACGCGGCGCAGGTGCGCGCGCTGCTGCGCGAGTTTGCGGCGACGCCTCGGGGGTCGCCGCGCGTGGGGCATAAGCTAGGCGCGGACGGAGCCGGCAGCCGTCCGCCAGGGGTCGCCAAGGCGCCGGCAGGCGACGAAGCGGACCGGCTGGATGCGGCGGCGGCGGCGGCGGCGGCAGGCGGCTGCACTGTGCACCAGGTGGAAGCGGCATCATTGCAGCAGGGGCAGAGGCAGACTAGCGACGAGCGGCAGCAGGAGTGGCAGCAAGAGCGGCAGCAGGGTGGGTACGTGAGCGGCGAGGAGGTCGAGGCGCTGCGGCGGCAGCTGGAGCGGGAGCGCGCCGCCAAGCGTCTGTACGCGCAGCGGCTGGAGCAGCAGGCGGTCGAGTGGATTGACCAGGTGGGGGGTCGTCGCCCGATTTCAATATCTGCCTGGGGGCTGCCTGGGCCGCTGCTGCATAACACTAGACATCCCACATCGCATGATGCGCACTCACGCACACCGCTGGCTCGTCAGAGTCCTATGTCCTGCACCTTCCCAACTTCCGCCAACCGTTTCACTCCTCATGGGAAACACTCAACCCAGGTGCGCTGCCTCCAGGGCTACATCGATCACCTCAAGACCAACATGCAGCCGCTGCAGCACCACAACAACCACCACAACCACTATTACCATCATCAGCATGAGCAGCAGCACGAGCAGCAGTATGAGCAGCAGCAGCAGGAGGAGGAGGAGCAGCAGCAGCAGCAGCTGTGGCGGCTGTCTGCCGCCGGCAGCGGCGGCGGCGACAGTGTCACCAGCCCGCACACGCCGCTCGTCGTCGCGCGCACGGCGAGCAGCGCCCCGCCAGACCGCGATGAGCTTGCCTGCGGCTACGCGGCCGCCGCGGAGGCCGCCGCGCGCCGCCAGCTGCAGCAGCAGGAGCAGCAGCATGAGCAGCAGCTGGGCGCGCTTTCCCCGCGCGCGCACGGCGTCTCGCTCCGCGAGGCGGCCGCGGTGGCGGTGGCGGACCACAACGCGCAGCTCATGGCAGAGGTGTCGGCTGCCCGCGCGGAAGCTGCCGCCGCGGCAGCCGGGGCGGCCCCTGCGGGCGCGGGGCGCCTCCTGGCGGCGGACCGCCTCCGCGGGGCGGACCTGGGGGCGCTGCGCAGCGGGCTGCAGCCGCAGAAGGGCAAGGGGGGCCTCATGGGCCGCCTGCGCAACGCGGCGGGGCGGGCGCCGCTGGCGCCCGGGCAGATCAACCTGAGCACCATGCCAGACCTGGCGGCCCCTGGATTGCTGGACGAATTTGGGGCGCAGCGGTCGGGCGGCGGCGTTGGCGGCGGCAGCGGGGGCGGGAAGAAGAAGCTCGGAGGGTTTTTGTTCGGGAACCGCGCGTGAGGGGCCGGCCCGCACTCTTTGGGATCGATGGGGCCCGGCGCCTGTGCGCTGTGGGGGCTTATGGGCCCCCCACAGCGGGGTTTCACCACATATTGATTCTGCTGCAGGGGTCGCGTGGGCATTCAGCTCAAAAATTTTCAAAGCAACAGCAGGGTGTTTGACCTGACTGCGGAAGGCCGCGCTATTACTAATTGGACTGAACCTCTTGATTGTTGGTACTCAGGGCGCCTTTTTGTGTGGCTGACCGCCCAGCCGTTCCTGTTCCTGGTACCCTTGTGCCAACCATAAATTTCATTGCCACGCAGCGATGCATTGGCATTGCAAATTCTGACATTTACAAAGTTGTGGTCGGCCTAGGCCGTTTCTGCAAGTGTGACGACAACGCCGAGGGCGATGCCAGCGGCCGGCCTCACAAGCCTGCTGCGAACTTGGGTGACGCTGGACCGCCCAGTGGGGGTGCAGCTGCAATTGCTACACAACAATCCAAAAGCACTGCTGCACAGTCACATAATCATAAGACATTGTCATGAGGAAGCCTATCTACTTGACACAGGGCCGCCGGCCTGTCATTGCTGCTGGTCGCCCGCCCGCTCCAGGGTGTTGTAATTAAGAAGCTTCTCGATCAGGTCGACGTGGGTCATCAGCATGCGCCGGCAGCAGTACCGGTTCAGGTTGAGCGCATCGAGCGCCTCCCTGCAAACGTGGCCGCGGCGCACACATGGTGTGAGGCACGCAGAGTGACGAACAGGCACGGCAGAGGTGGGCTACCGCAAGCTTCACCATTAGGGACCACACTGACTTTCAACCTGAGCAGATTGCAGGACGCCAACTTCCCCGCGTCTCTGCTGCTGCTGCTGCTGCTGCTCGCAGAACCACGCCACGCACAACACCAAAGGCCCACCCTTCGGTGTAGTCGGCCTGCAGAAGGTCCAAGTAAGTGTCCCACTTGTTGCCAATCACCTGCACGCGTTCAACAAGTTGATGGCGGTGAAAGTCGTCTCGCTTTGCAAATCAGTCGGCCGACGCAGTCGAGGCTGCAGCGAGGCACCAGCCGCCCTGCGGTGTCGTGCAGCCTGCCATTGCTACTGACCACATTCATCAGCGCAATATAAGCTGCCATCATGTCGAGCCGCGGCCCTTCTGTGGGATGAGACACGCAACAGCTGAGCGCCGATGCGAAAGACGACGCTGCCGCCGCAATCATTCACGTCGCCGCCACCAGCAAGGGCTTACAACTGCCGCAGCACCTATTGATTTGATAATCACGGCGCATGCTTTCGTTCGGGCAGCTCACCTTGCCGCAGGTGAAACACCGCACAGGGATGATCATGGTGGCCGCAGCGGGCCAAAGCCGTGTGTTCAAGTAAAGTACAACAATTTCTAAATTGTCCTTTGCGTAGCTTGAAGGGCGGCTACTGCCTCAGATCGCTTGCTTTGCACTAGCAGACGAACGAAGGACAGCTTGCAGCAGGAAGGCCACTGTGGTATGTTTTTCGTCGCGGCATGGTCGCTTGACAAGCCTTGGTGATGGCGGGTGCATCCTTAGGTGCGCCCCAGCTTCCTGAGGGGCGCCCTATCTTCTACACCAATGTTCAAACGATTCAAATGGAACAGAATTTGTAAAACGCTGTTTCCCTAGGCAGTTTCGGCTACACGGCTTCATACGAAGGCGTGCAGCAAGCCCGTCAACTCAGGCCGCATCTGTCAGCCGAGAGGCATTTGCAGGACCCTCGGAAGTGCAGCTTCAAAATTGAACGATGGAGGACGCCACGTGGCTTGCCCCCACGCGGTAGGCACTTCGGCTGACTGGTCACATGCGCGCCGTTTTGCAGCCGCTGCCCCTCACCGCAGCCCTGCACCTCAGCTTCAAACGCTGCTCTCACCCCGCTTTGCGGGTGCTTTGAAAAATGCTCATATCAATCTCCCACCCACAACCCTGGCACGCCACCTCGCTCAGGACACTGCCCAGCAACTTGGCGATGAACAATGTGACGCCGGCGACGCGCCTGCTGGAGAAGCGGCGGCAGATGTTTGAGGTGCAGGAGGCCCTCGAGGCCCAAAAGCAGGACTTTGCACGCAAGGTGCGGCAACGATCGCAATGGCGCAAAGCAGCGCGGCTAGCTTGCTGGCACATGGCTGTCTGGCTGCCTGGCGCGCGGCTGCCTGGCGGCGTACAGCTCGCGCCCAGGCGTCCTTCGCCCTGCACACACATTTGACATTGCAGGAGGAGGTGTTTCGAAAGCGCGAGGACGCGCTCAAGCGCCGCGACCTGGAGCTGCAGGAGAGCCTCATCCGCTTCAGCAAGTTCCTCCAGGAGAACGACAGCAAGCGCGCCAGGGCCGAGAAAAAGGCGGCCGACGAGATCAGGGCACGCCAGGCCAAGGAGGTAGAGATCGCGAAGCTGGCCGAGGTTGTGGACGCGCTGAGCGAGGAGAAGGAGCGCGCGGACGAGGCGGTCGACCGGCGCATGCGGTGCGGGTCGGGTGTTGTGCGCGGCAGAGTCATCCGTTTTGTGTTCCGCTTTGGTTGGTTGATTGGGGAGCTGCACAGCAAGCGGCGGTACCTGCGCGTGGTAGCGGCGTTTAGGGATCACTAGCCGCGCCGAGATTGCCAAGAGTTGTGCGCCGTATCCTGTACAATAGCGGGTGGCCATGCATCCACCCATCTTCGTTGACAGGCGCCCTTTCCTCGCGCCCCACTGTTCACAGCTACCAGCGCTACCTGGAGGCGGTGCTGGAGGCCGCGGATGAGTACCAGGAGATTGGGGAGCTGCTGGCCCGCCACGCCACACTGCAGGCAAGGCACTTCCTACACGCCTCGCCGCCCTCACATCCACCATAGCGGACCCGCCAGGGCTGGGCACGCCCCATGGTCGAATGATGCCTGGAGGGCAAAACTGCTCGAGGTTACCATGGCCAAGTTGCAAATTGCTGCGACCTATCCCGCAGGCCACCAATGCAGACCTGCGCGCCCACAAGTCCCGCTGCGACGCCGCCGCGGAGTCGCTGCGCAGCGAGCTCGCCGAGTACAGCAAGCGGCGCGGCGACGAGCTGCTGCTGCTCAACAACCGCCTGGCGGCGCTGAAGCAGCAGCTGGAGGCGCACGAGCAGGACGCAGCCCTGCTGGAGGCGGCAAAGGACGGCACGCTGGCGATCGCCAGCCAGAGGACGTTGGTGTACGGCCAAGTGGTGCTCGCGACAGACAACCTGTTCAGCCAGTGCCGCCAGCGGTCAAACATCGCGCACGCGCCGCAGGCAGGGCCGCTGCAGCAGCTGGAGGTGATCGGGAACTACGTGTCTGATCTGGTCGCCGCCTGCAAGCAGTTGCAGCAGCAGCAGCAGGTGCAGCAGCAGCAGGTGCAGCAGGGTAGCAGCGGTGCACAGATGTCAGTGCCAGGCAGTGGGGCTGCTGGGCAGCAGCAACAGCAGCAACAGCAGCAACAGCAGCAGCAACCACAGCAGCAACAGCAGCAGCAGCAAGCAGGAACATGAAAAATTGCACGTTGCTGCAGAGTAATAATTGTTTGCCGTGCAATGGCCTTTCAGAGGCTGGCCACCGGAGCTTGGCCTTGATTGACTTGTCGGCGAAAGTAGGGCGCACGACACCCCAGACTTTGCAGAAGGAAGTCTCCACTGTCAGACTTGGGCAAGCAGTTTCATGCAAGCGGATCCTCACTAGCAGTTGCCAGTGGTGCCAGGTCCACAGCTGCACGTCAGTGGTCTCGGCGCTCGGTATGCATATTGACACACGGACACTTGAACAGGCAACAGACCGGATTCCACTAGGTCAGTGCCACGCTCTGCATGCTCTGTGGGTGAGTGTATTACTAAGCGCTGCGCCCCGCTTAGCCAGGAAGGCCCCACCCAACTTGTGAGGCCTCTCACTTTGTCAACCCAGTCCCTGGGCCACCGCAAGCGCAACGCATCAGCTGCGGTAAAGCTCAAAGCAATTTTCAAAGCACTGCTTGCTGGACAGTCATAGCGCGCTTGCATGCAATCGAGGCGCTAGGCGTCGCCTCGTGACCTCAGCTCATGACCTGCCTCGGTTGCTGCGGGTCACTTGGTGAGAGCTCTGGGACCGTTGCTGCGACGCCGCAGTTGAGGTAGCTGCTGAGCAGTTGGCAAGTGGTATTACTGTGGCTTGTTTAAAGCAATCGTCTGAGCGCGAAGCGATCTTGGGATCGCCAGACGGCATCACACGCGAGTGGATCCTGCGGGCTGAGCGCTCGTCCTCAATACAACTTCATAAAGAACAGACTGTGCAATTATGGGGTTGTTCTCCAAGCTCGCAGAGAAGGCAGAGAAGATGGCAGCGCAGGCGCTGGGAGGCGGTGGAGGTGCTGGGCAGCAGCCTCAGCAGCAATACGGGCAGCAGCAATACGGGCAGCAGCCCTACGGGCAGCAGCAACAATATGGACAGCAGCATCAGGGCGGTTACGCGCCTCCGCAGGTCTACCAGCAGCAGCAGGCGCCGCAGCAGCAGTATCACCCCGGCTTTGGTCAAGCGCCGCCACAGCCGAGCGCTCCTCAGTACCAGGCGCCCACGGCCTACAGCCCGAACCCCCCGCAGCAGCAGGCCCCAGTTCAGGGCCGCAAGAAGGCCGTGCTAGTGAGTTCACCTCTATCCAGCTCGTTCAGTTCCTATCATGGCGCAGCGTATTGAGCGTTGGGTGGTGTGCGGGGTGCTAGGCATGGCATGCAGCGGAGCTGCGTGGCCGGCGCCCTCCTAGCAGATGCACGAGGCCCATACGTGCCATCTGGCGCATGATCGCGTGCATGAACTTCTTCGCTGCACGCTGTGGCATTCGCCCTGCGTGCCCATGGGACGCAGGGCACATACCTGCTCCTGCCCCGCCTCTCACTTTTGTCTGCACCATGCGGCTGTAATCTCCTACTCTCACCAACCTCCATCAACCAGGTTGGCATCTCATACGTCGGGACGCGCGCCCACCTAAGGGGCACCCTCAACGATGTCGAGTGCATAAAGTACTGCCTCATCAACAGGTGGGGTGTGCCAGCCCGGCAGATCCAGCAGCTGCGGCGGACCGGACGGCCAGCCGGCGGAAGGGGCCGCGCACGAGCAGCCCGGGCGGCAAGCAAGCGAACGTGCTGGTTGGGCGGGGCAGAACTTGTTTCAGGATTCGTAGATTCAACAACTTGGATTTGCAGCTGCAGTGGGCTGTTGTGCTTGCGTTTCCTTGGCCTGCACGCGCTGTCTGCAGCAGGTCAGTTGCGTGGCTTCACATGGCCTCGCAGCGGTCTGGGGCAGCTGATCAGCAGCACGGGCGAGCGCCGCCCGGCGGCATTGCAAGCCTGTTTTGAATTCGATATCAACAACGATCTGGGATCCGGGAGTTTGTTTAGGACGGGAACGCCGCGGAGCCGACCTCTTGGCGCCCCACTATTGCATGCCTACTGGATTACAGGTTTGGGTTCCCCGAGTCTCAGATCGTGGTCCTGCGGGACGGTGAGCAGCGGGCAATGCGCCTGTCATGCGGCCATGCCAGCCCCGCAATCCTCAAACCTGCGCCCGCTCTGCCGGGCGGCAATGTGAGGTGTTGGCCCGCTCTGGCGGCAATGTGAGGTGTTGTGGGTGGCGATGTCGAGACAGTGACACCACCCACGTCCTACCCAACTCTGGGGGCCTTGTCCCACCCCGCAGACGTCCAGCACCCGGACTTCTACCCGACAAAGTGAGGGCGCTGCGGGGTCATGCGCGGCTGCTGATGACGCCCACGATCGCAATGCGCAGCTGATTCTCACCCTCATGGCACCTTGACCCCTCTGCAGCACGCCTCACTCTAGCTGGGCTCTGTTTCTTGCCGCCCTTGCCCCTACCTGCCCCACGCCACCGCGCTGACGCTCCCCTTGCCCTCATTCTTGACAGGGCCAACATTTTCCGCGCGATCCAGTGGCTGATGACTGACCTGCAGTTTGGTGACAGCCTGTTCTTCCATTTCAGCGGCCACGGCAGCCAGCTGCGCGACCCCACGGGTGCGCCGTCCCCACATGCATCTGTGTTGCGCACACGCTGCGGGCGAGCGATTGTCGCGCGTGCGTCTGGGTGCACTCAATCACAGGGGCGTCCAAGAGCTGGTCTGATAATGTGGACGTGCCGCAAATGCGCGACGCCTTCAACTGCGCATCTCCGTCTCATGCGCCATGCAGGCATGGAGGCGGACGGCTACGACGAGACCATATTGCCAGTGGACCACGCCACTGCTGGCCAGATCCGCGACACGGGTTAGTCACGAGGTTGTTGTGCCCTTCAGGGTGGGGGCGTTGGCAGTTGCCATGCGGATTGGGAAACGCAGAGCCAGCTTCACGGCCATGCATGTCACTGGCAATGCTGATGTGGCGGGCTGCGGTCGCGCCTTGGCAGTTGGCTTCGAGGCCGTGTCGCGATTAATTTCGTCACCCCTATCATGTAACCCCTCGTCCTGCTGCAGTCCATCCCCATCGACGCGCCTCCCTGCTGCTGCTCATGCCACCTCCGCTGCAGAGCTGCACCGGGCGATGGCTGCGCCGCTGCCTCACGGCGTGGTGTTGCACGCCATCTTTGACAGCTGCCACAGGTGCGTGCTAGCAGGGACCCTGGTTTTACTGCAGATGTCTGGCGCTGCCGTTGCGCCGCCGCTGTGTGACTGAGAGCATTACTGACGTCCTCGCACTTTTGCTCATGATTCTCTCTCCCCCCCTGCTTTCCTGCGTTCTCTCTATCCAACGCCCGCCGCACCTGCTCAGCAGCCCCATCCTTGCCCCGACCACTTCTATAAACATATGCCATCTGCTGACCTGTCCTGCACCCACTCTGACCTGTCGCCCCCTTACTTGCCCACCGACACCCCCACACAGCGGCACCATCATGGACCTGCCCTACGAGACCAAGTATGACGCCAGCGGGGCCATGTCCTGGCAGGCGTCGCGCAATTACGGCACAGCCGGGGGCACTGTCTTCCAGCTGGGCGCATGCAGGTGCAGCGCGGGCGCATGCCGGCATGGGGGCCGTCGACGTGCCCGCGGGGTGAAACGGCTGCATTGCGCTCGCGGGGGGCGGAGTGGGCGACGCCCCACCTCACAACCAAGGTAACAACACCTGCAGCCTCTCATGCCGGCACCTTTGACCCTGCGTGGCTGCCCTTGGGCCCATGCGCTGTCCCCCCTCTGATGCCCGTGTTGGCTCGAGCAGCGACGACCAGACGGCGGCCGACACTGCGGCCCTGTCGCGCGAGGCCTACACAGGCGCCGCCACTTACAGGTGGGGTGGGAGGGGGGGGGGCGCACCCTCGGCCCGCGCACGGGCGCAGCAAGCCGCGGCCAAGCTGGGCTCTCGGAGGCTGACATGCTCGGCTGGCGGACAGCTGCTGTTGCCATGGCTGTCACAGCTGGACACTGCCTGCCGCTCCGCAGCACGAGCGCTGCCCTCGATGTCTACACAAAAGGCAGGCTGGCCGCTCGCACCAGGAAAATGTCAAACAGCACGATACTCTTTCTCGCTTTGACCGCCCCCTGCCCTTCCTCAACCTCTCTGGCCCACCATTCCGCTCGTCTCAATCGTTCTCGCAGCTTCATCGACAGCATCGAGAAGTACGGTGTGAACCAGTCATACGCCAACCTGCTGCTGCACATGACAGAGGTGCGCCTGCCCTTGTGTCTGAGAATGAGCATGCACATGGAGGCCACACGCGTGAGCGGCTGCGAGTCTGCAAGGCGGGACGCGCCACCGCAGGTTACACCAGCCACGCTTGCGGACGCGTCACAAGCAGGTGCTGATGCTCATCTGCCGCCCCTTCCACGCACTCGTGCCTGGTGCTGACCACCGCCAAGAGCAGCCGAACCTCAGTGGCCTGAGATGGTCACGACTTGAGCTATCAATTGGCTGCCCCTGGCTCCCTCCGCTCTGCCTGCAGTCGCTGCGCGCCCTGGGCAAGACGAGCCAGACAAAGCCCAGCGGGGGGTCGGCTGCGCTGTCCATGATGGCACCCATGCTCGGCGGGCTTGCAGGGGTGAGTGGGCCGTGTGCTGGTGCTGGTTGTTCACTCCTGTGCTGCACAAAAACACATCAGCTGCTGCTTGGCAGGTGCATTTAAAAGGTGTGTTGGCCCGGCAGCTCGAGCCACTACCTCCTGCCCGCCCCACTTGACCGGCCGGGCCAAGCGGCGCTGCTGACGGGGGCTCGACGTCCCGCCCGCCGCCGCAGGGCGCGATGGGCATGATGGCCGGCGCGCTGCTGGGCAACATGGTGGACAGGGGGCGCCTGAGTCACCAGCTGGTGAGTGCCACCCGGGGGCCGTCGCCGTTGCGCTGCCCCTCTTGCTTGAGCCCTGCCAACATGCTGCGCCACCAGCGCGTGCCAGACAGCTGCTATGGGTTTGCCTCTTGGCCGCGGCTCCCGAGCAGTTTGGCTGCTAGTGCGGCTCCGTTGGCAGGGCGGCGTGCGTGGACTGCATCAAGGCGACGGGTTGGATGCAGCCAGGCCGACAGGAGTGAACCTCTTGCTTGCCATCCATCCATCCTCCCACAGCCCACACTGGCCTGCGACAAGCCTGTGGACATCCACCAGATCCAGCTGATGATCTGATCAAGGGTTTCAGATCTGGACTGATACAGGCTGTGTGGGTATTGACTGCTGGGGGATCACACCGTCCACTTCCTGCTAGGGGCAAGGCGTGTGTGCGGTGTGGCTCAGTGCTTTTACCTTCAAACAAGCTCGTGAGATGAAGCAAGTTTGTGATTCGCACGCATTCTTGTCTTGTTAGCACAACCTGCCCGTCCCGCACCGCCGCACGCCAGATGGCGGTCTTGTGCGATCTGTACAAGCACTTGTCATATACACTGGGTCCTGCGTCGACTTTTTTAGGCAAGGATCACCCCAATACACTGTGCAGGATTGTTGCATTCTGGGGTTCTGTTCAGGAACTCTGCGCTTTCACAGCCTGAAGCTGTGTAAACCCTGCCTCGCGCACACCCCCAGCTGGCTGTTGGAAGTTGGGGTGGGTTGGAAGGGTCATGCTTCGTGCGACTGGGCGTCCCAGCATATTAAGGCCACCGCTTGCTGCACTGGTATCCATTTGGAATGGTGTCAGCACCGAAGCATGCTCACTCCATCAGTCCTTGTCGTGTCCATGCAGGCATGGATGAGGCAGGAGCAGCAGCTGCTGCTGCTGCGCAGCACGCAGCATGTCGTGACATGAGTGGGCACATCATCCTTTGTGGTCGCAACAGAGAAGGAAACATTATTTGTTCTTGAGTGCGTACCTGATACAACATTTGACAAAGGCCAACCTCTGCCCTCTGTAGAGGCCGTGGTGGCACCTCGAAGCGGGATGGCCTACCTTAGGCGTAAGCGGCTTTACTCAGAGTGCGACAGTGTATCAACAGATATCACCGCCAGCTCTTCTGGGCGGGGAGGCGAGGAGCTGAACGAACCGGACGTCGAGAGCGCGCGGTGGGCGCCAACAGCCATCTTGTTCAGTGCATGAGGTTACATGCATGGTTTATGAATATGATAGTTTCAAATCAAGCTCCGCTAGCGCCATGGGCTGGCGCCAACGTTGCATGCGTTGCGATCGCTGCATGCGCCGCTCCACAGGCAGCAGCAGCTCAGGGCGGCTCGTGAGGAGCATGCAGCCACCCGCTTGCATCTGGAAGAGATTCAGCGCGCATCCAGGGAGCAGCAGGGGCACGTGGTTATGCAGCTGCAGGAGCTGGAGGGCTGCAGTGCAGAAGGGGGCGAGGGCAGTGAGGGCGGCCACAGCGGGGGCTTGTGCGTTGTCGACCTGCACAGGCAGCTCAAGGTGGGCCTTGGGCTGGTGGCGTAGAAGAATGCTATGCCTGGAGCATCATGAGCATGTTTGTCCAGCAGGGAAGGGATGTCACAAGCCTGCTAGACCACCCCCCATTGGTGTGTTGCTGCGAGCAGGGCGCACACTTGCATTTACCGTTGTGTGCATGGCACCGCAGGCGTATGCAGCCCAAGAGCTGGATGCGGCAGCGGCGCTTGAGAAGCTGGAGCAGCAGCACCGTGCCAAGCTGGCTTCCCTGCTAGCCCCGCCCGACGGGCCTCCACAAACCACTGCGGGCGGCTCGCCTGCCCCTGGGGCAGTGGTGCCGCAGGAGCCACGGTCAGAGAGGGCCTCGCAGCAGCAGCAGCAGCAGCAGCAGCAGCAGCAGCAGCAGCAGCAGCAGCAGCAGGTAGTGCAGCAGGAAGTGCAGCAGACAATGCAGCAAGCGGAGGGGCAGGTGCAGCCGCAGCAGCACCAACAGCAGCCCAAGCCTGGTGATGCAGCGCAACCTGTTCAAGTGGACATGGAGCAGCAGCAGGGGCATCACTTGCAGCAGCTGCAGCAGCAGCAGCAGCAACAGCAACAGCAGCAGCAGCAGCAGCAGCAACAGCAGCAGCAGCAGCAAAGGGACAAGGTTCAACAGGAGCCGGAGCAGGAGCGGCTACTCGAGCAGCGCCTGCAACTTCAATCATACGCTGCGCAGCATCAGCAGCATCAGCAGCAGCAAGGGCCGCAGGTGACGCCTGGAAGAGAGGCCGCGAAAATAGATGCGGAAATGGCGCGCGTGGACGCCGAGATGGCCCGCGTAGCCATGCAGCAGGAGCTGGCCGCCAGCCAGCTGGACCGCCGGCGGCGCTCGAAAAAGGCGCGCACCGACGGCATCAGCCAGGTGTGGGAGTGGCTTCATGGCGGCGACGGCAGCGGCGGCGGCGGCGCGGCTGGCGGCGCAGGGGAGCACGGGGAGGCGCGGGCACTGGTGCAGCAGGAGGCGGCGCGGACGGGTTGACAATCTCTCTTTAGCACGCTGAACGACAGCAGCCTCGTTTGGCCCGTGACCCACATGCGTGACCCACCCCCTCGACCTGGGCGTCCCTTACCATGAGCTGACACTGTCCATACTGTATATCTATTCTTTCATCGCGCAACTGGCTATCCTAAGCTCTCAACTTGTAATTCAGGTATTACAAATTCCGTGAACCACCACGCATGCATGCCGACGCGTCCTGTGCCCCAGCAGCTTCTCCCAGGATCCAGATCATTTCTTGAGCTGGACGATGGCCAGGTGGTATCTTGGTACGACACAGGGGGTGGTGGTTGGAGGGAGGCGGTTGCTGTGGTGAACAAGAGATGCCGGGTAGGGAGGCCAGCGTGCGGTCTTGACCACACAGCAGCAACTTGGCAGGCTTTGGGCAAGCGGCGGCACGCCAAGGGTCCAGAGGAGCAGCACCTTGCCCGTCACCAGAGGTGCCCTGAGCTGAGCAGCCGCCCACCACCACAGATCCAGGCACTCCCGCCGAGCAACCGCTCACTTTTTGTGCGACGGCGGTATGCCAGGGGGATGCTGCGATTTCCGCTTGCCCTTGCCCTTGCCGCCGCCGCCACCATCACCGCCGCCGCCGCCGCCGCCGCCGCCACCGCCGCCGCCCTGCTGCTGGTTGGGGTTGCGTTCGTCCCAGCTGCTCTTGCGCAGCTGCACGGGCCTGTTGCCAATGTACTTGCCCTCCATCTCCCGCATGGCCTTGGCAAAGTCGTTGCCGTCCATCAGAGACACGAAGCCAAAGCCCTTGCTGCTCGGGGCAGGCGTGGCACAAGGCAGCCAGGGGGGGGGGCAAAGGGGTGACAGTCAGGTCAGCGGGGAGGGGGGCTCCAGGGCTGGCAGCAGGCCTCGCTGCTCAAAATATTCAAAGGGGTGCGGGCCCGAAGCATTCGATAGGGATAAGACGCACACCGTTGCAACAGGGCAGGGGTCGTGAGGCCAAGGCCTGGGCAGGCCTTGGTGTGGCTTCAGGTTGGTGAGGCAACCAGAGCGGCCGGCTGGCCCGTCTTGCAGCGCCGCTGGCATCCGCCGCCAAGGGGCCGCCGCGTCGCCGCCTGCGGCCGGACACCGGTGCGTGCGTCCCCCCGGCCAGGCCCGCGCACCTCTTCTTGGTCCTCTTGTCCTTGACCACTTTGGCCTTTGCAAAGGACGGGTACTTGATGAAAGCCTTGCTCAGCAGGTCATCATTGACCTCGTTACCCAGGTTGCCCACAAAGATCTGGACATGGGGTTCAAGGAGCACCGGGCACGCACGCGCGTGAGTGCAGACAGAGGGCTCACACGTTATACGGGGGCGCGTGAGCTCAACCGCCTCGGCGCAATGCGCGACGACCTCAAGCATGAGAGCGCCCGCAACCGCGCGCTCCAACCCCTGGCGGGGGGCACCCCGTCCCTTCCCCAGCCCACACTCTGCGGCCACCCCAGCGGGGCGGGGGAGGGGGGGTCTTGCATTAGACAAGCCACTCACCCGGAAGTCGTCCTCCGGCCACTCCCCCAGGGTGGGATCGTACCATCTCGTCCCGGCAGCTTCCCGCACCTTCCCCTTGTCGTCCTTCGCCTTGCCGCCCGCCGCCTTGCCGCCCGCCCCGCCCTTCCCGCCCGCGGCGGCGGCGGCGCCGCCGCCGCCAGCCGCGCCCGGCGGCTGGCCCGGTGGCGGCACAGGCGGCGCGACCGCGGGCGGCGCGGCGGGCAGGCCGGCGGGCGGCATAGGCAGGCCGGCGGGCGGCAAAGGCAGGCCAGCAGGCGGCAACGGCAGGCCGGCCATCCCCATGGGCGGCGGGCCGCCACCAAACCCTGAAGCGGTGCGGTGGGATTTGACGCAGGCCGGGAACCTTGAGAGTGGCTTTGAGGTTCAAAGTTTGACAGGAGTTGCAAAAATGCACGCAATCAGCAAATAGGATGCAATCTGCCGCAACACGCTGGCCCTGGCACCGCCGATCAACTGATCAGGTGCGGCCGCATCCCCGACCTCCTCGCAGCTCGCAGACGACGGCTGCGGCGAGGCCGCGCACCTGGGACACCCATGGGCCCGCCCATGCCGAGGCCCATGGGGCCGCCCAGCCCCATGCCACCCATCGGCGGCGGGCCCCCCATAGGAAGGATGCCAGGGGCGCCCATTGGGGGGCCGCCCATGCGCATCTGGGGCAAGCCGCCCATTGGGGGCCCGGGCGGCGGCGGCAGGCCACCCATCGGCCGCGGGGGCGGCGCGAGGGGCGGGGGTGCCAA